GTCTTCTGAGTGCACGCGTAAACATAACGTCTTCTGAGTGCATGTGTAAACATGACATCTTCTGAGTACGCATGTAAACATGACGTCTTCTGAGTACACGTGTAAACATGACGTCTTCTGAGTGCACGTGTAAACATGACGTCTTTTGAGTGCACGTGTAAACATGACGTCTTCTGAGTGCACATGTAAACATGACGTCTTCTGAGTACACGTGTAAACATGACGTCTTCTGAGTGCACTGTAAACATGACGTCTTCTGAGTGCACATATAAACACGACGTCTTCTGAGTACAGGTGTAAACATGACGTCTCCTGAGTACACGTGTAAACATGACGTCTCCTGAGTACACATGTAAACATGACGTCGTCTGAGTACAGGTACAGGAATGAATGACATGGTTATACTCAATATTGATCCGAGGTGGAATGTTATATAGTGGACCCTCCATAATCCTATCACCTTTGTTTCCACCCAAAATTACCATTGTAAGTTTTCTCCTGAGTTTAGTCAACAGACAAAATTCAAATTCTTTGACTGAAGAGTACAAGTATTGTTATAGAAATGTAATCTTTTAAGAAATCCTTTTAAAACTTTTCCAGTCAGATTGTGAGTTTTCTAGAGTATTGGAGTGTACATTATTTCAGGTATACACAACTGTAACAGGAACATTAATAACATATTGAACCTTAGCAACAATCTGACTAGACAGACCTCCCATCATTTGGCTTAAGTGAAATTCCCCTCATCAAATGACCTAGATCTCCTCCTTCTCAAAATATATATATTTCTCTTAGATATCAAAATCCCTGGATGATTGGAAGTCCCTATAACATACACTTGGAAGGGTCAACAGCATAGCTCTCTAATGCATGTAGATAGGTAGATATGAAAAATACCTGAGACATTTTCGGCTGATTCAGGAAAAAAATGTTTTCTAAGTAAATGACTTGACATTGGGGTTAACTGAAATTTCCATTAACCAATCAACGAGCTAGTGAGGTTTTCAATTTCTACAATATAAATAAAAATGCTCATTATTATAATATCTGTAATAGCCACATTACCATATCAAGATAAAAAATTCAGACCTTAACACATCAGATATGATGTGTAAGTGATATAGATCTAATTGTTAATTATTGTCTACATCAATAGACAATTATAGGCACCGACTAAGACGAAGACATTTCAGAAACAAAAAACTTTGCGTACAAATGTGTCTTCTAAGCAATAATTTCAACACATAAAGTCGAATAGAGTAATCCATGGATTATAGAACTATTTTAAAAAAATTTTTATCTTATAAGCCTAGGGAACAACACACTTTTGCATGTGATTCAATATCAGGGGGTGGGCTTACTACAGGACATTTAAAAAAGTATTTGCTGGCGATTCTGTTGAACAACAGTAGATAGATGAGGTTAACAGCTTGATATTGCACTTCAGTGATACTGTACAAAGCCTTGTAAAGATCCTCTGATTCAATATCAGGGGGTGGGCTTACTACAGGACATTTAAAAAAGTATTTGCATTTGTTGGTGATTGAGGTTAACAGCTTGATATGTGTGCCTTGTAAAGGACATTTAAAAAGCATTTGTTGGTGATTCTGTTGTGTGGGCTTATTGCTGTCTATCTAATATGGATTCATGAACTAGGTAAATCTAGTCCCTCATGAAAAAAAAAGTTCCTGTCTTCTCTAGGGGGAACCTGCCCCAAACTTTAAAGCTAGATTATAATGACAATTTTAGTTAACACAAGTAAATTGTAATATAAAGCACACTAACATTTCATTAAATGATAATTTTGTAAAAGAAAATTAAATAAAAATGACAAATGGAATAAAAACTTACTTTCTGGATTGTATGTTACCTAGCTTACCTAGACACATTTTTTTTAAGCTTTTGGCCTTACAAATTGACAATTATAAACTATAAAATTACTAATTTTATCGGGGGGTAGGGGTAAGGAGGGGAGGGGGGATATTATTCATTATGTGGGAACCCTCAGTCCAGGAACTCATGTGTCCATGAACTGTGAAGATTTGTGTCAGTAGATTTTTAGCGATTGTGATTTTTTTGAAAAATCTTGAAAATTGTATCCCACAAAACTTTACATGATTCTAAAGCATTCAGGTTGTTAGTTTTGTGCGTTAAATTTCTTCTCTAATCTTAACAAATTGTTTATGAAACATATTGATATTTTATACACATGTAGCACTACAATATATTTTTCTAATTAGAAAATATCATTCAATTCTAAATGCTAAATGCATTAAAACAAAACAAAAGATGTCTGTCTAGCAGTGACATCAGTATCAATGTTTGTATACGATAACAAAACACGACATGAAGAATATCAATGGCAAGAATAGGTAAATCAATGGCAGAGACAATGAACACACATATATATATCTATATACCAACAAGGTAACCATGGTGACGGAGAGCTATGAGGGACGGTATCAACAGACTTACGATCTCTATGGAATAAAACAACCTTTAAAAGTTCTGCAGTGTGGAGTATGTACAAGATCCTATTTGGTTGAAACATAACAATTTTTATGAGACATAGACAATGACATGTAGAACCCAGGCAAGGTTCTTAAGATGGCATTAATTCAGGATGGAATGGGACAAGACGGGATGGGATGAATGGACAAACGTAACACCATACATTTCGATAAATAACCTTATGATTTACAACCAGCTTAAATGACTGGGAGCTTACCTGAAATAAAACTGTGCATACATCATATACATATGATAATTATTTCAATTTTAATGTTGAAAATATTCTACATTCATATTTCTATTCAATTTTTTAGAAAAAAAAAATTATGAAAAAAACAATTGAATGCCTTGTAACATTTAAAACCCCTTGTCATCAAAGTATTGCAGTGTGACCTTGCATTAAAAGGTCACATTTAAGAAAAACTGAACTACTTAATTACTAGACAAAAATAAGTGTTCCTCATCTACATGTTAATTTATTATGAAGGAAACTTCCACATTTAAATCAAAATGTTGGCCACTAACTTCCGGTTCTGATAACACTTTTCCATGATGCTGTGGGATTTTTCACTTCATCATAGGATGAATGATCAGTCAGAAGGTGTAACGTGAAATCAATATCACTTTGTCAATCACTGGGTGTTAAACAATGCCAAATTCTTCATTACATACTCAGTGACACAAAAAGGCCGAACCCAGGGACACGAATATGCCAGACTAAATTCATCTTGGCCCATTGTATATAAATTTATCTTAGATGTGCTTCCATTCATATGAAGGGTAGTCGGGTGGTGCAGTGGTAACACACTCACCTTTTACCTAGCTGTTCGGGGTTTGATTCCCGGAACGGATGTGAAAAGGTATGGGGTCACCTGCTCGACCACGTAAGTTTTCCCAGGGTACTCCAGTTTCCCCCACACAACAAGAGTGATTAATATAAGTTGGAAAAACTTGCTTCGCAATTGTTGTAAAATAAATCTAGTTTATTATTATCATTATTCATATGAATTGTAAACAAATATAAGATTCTGTTCATCATACAACTTAGATATGAAGTTATGACATCACAATGAAAACAGAAGAAACCTTCAGTCACACTTCAGTCACAGCTGTCCTAGCTCGGTCATATTGTTTGTGTGCCATAACAAAAATTTACTGTACTTGGTGATACCAGTGTGGTAATGCGATGATTTTTTTTTCAGAGTTTTGTTATAAAAAAAAATGATACTTTATTGATCAAAGACAGACATATGTATCATGCTGGCAATAAATACACACTAAATTAAAATATCAACTTTCGTTCTAAAGATCAGTGACAATAAAATTTCTCATTTACTGTAACTAGAAAAAATATGTCGAGAAATAATACTACGACATACTTTGAAATAAACTGAGGAAACACAACAAGATACCATAAACATCCTATAGAAATCGAAGAAGACGGCAAATGCAAAAAATTCCTGGTAATTTGATTTCCTTTCTAAAAATTATCAATGTCATTCATAAGATTATTATTAAGGGGCAGTGAACACAAACATGATTAATTATCAATCAAAAACATCAATTGTACTGGTAAGTTGAACAGGAAATTGAATCTCAGTGATTAAAAAAATATCTTTTAATAAAATATTCCCTTAAAAAATTTTTTTTAAATAAACAAAATATTTTAACTTCTTCATAATCTGAGGCTGTAAATGCATGTTAACTGAGTACAGGGATTTTTTCACCCACAGCTGTTTTGTCTGCCCTTGTATTATTTAACACAAATTTGCCTCGTGTTCATTTCACCCTATGAGGATAACATGAAAAGGGTTATATAAGTGAAACAAATTTTCGCCCTCATCTTGAATTCACCCTTCCTGATCAGGCACACAAAGGGCGAAAATCAAACAGAGGCAAACATTTCCAGGCATATGGTTTATCTAATGACAACAGTGTCAAGTGAGCTTATTAAAGGACAGTAAAAAAGTGGTTGTGGAATTTCTTCAGAAGTATATGTGGGTGGGCAAATTACCTTCCATACATATATATTTGTATGTGTGTATATATATATATATAAGGCAAATGCCAAATAAATGCACTTTTACCCTCTAAAGCTAATTAACATGAGTTTTCTCCCAAGCAAATACTTTCTAGTAAATCTATCACTGTTAAGCTGGCAACGGGCCTAATACATGAGTATCGTGTAAATAAAGATATGTACAAATACTAAATAGATAAAAAAAATAATCTGGATGACAAGTGTTAAGAGCTACCATGATCATTACAAGGCAAGTTTCTCTTTGGACTGACAAAGTTTGGGAGTTGCTTCCCTTAGACTATAAAACTCTTCAATTTCTTCAAGAATTCAGCATTGCACAGGCCACGAACACTTTGCATCTATTACCCATCCTTGAGAACATGTTGAGTTCTCAAACAAGAGAAATCTCGTATTGTCATGCATAACTTTGCTTAACAAATTTGATTTAACTGCAGAGAGAGTTAAAATATTATGTTTGCATGACTTTGTGACTTTTGCCATCTGGACGTCCGGTCAGGAAGTACGTAGTCATATCCCCTTTGCCCTTGACTTTGACTATGCCGCGACACTTGAGTTCATATCCTCGGACAGAAAGAATGTTGTACATGTCCTGTGTTACCTATAAATATGAATAATCACTCAGCTTTACAAAATTCAATTTCTAATTACGCGGGAAAATTTTATAAATATACACAATAAACCTGTATAATAATGGATGTTTATCCGAGAGTTTCCGATTTTAATAACCTGCCTTAATTGTTTCTGAATTTAACGATTTTTTGAAACGTATACATATTGAATATTTCAATGATTTAAATTATAATTCATTCAAACAATATATTATGCAAGACACAGTTTTTGACCTCTTCATAATTTGATTGTTTCAAGCAGTGTTAAAAGAAACCAGAACTAAAAGGAAAGTCTATAGACAGGAATGGACGGACCAGACTGACACAGGTTATACACACTTTGCCATTTTAAAGTTAATTCATCAACTAATTGATAAGGAAGAAAAGGACAACTTATAAAAAACATCAAGAAAATACCAACATGACAACATAATCATAACCCAAACTCAAATTCCATAAAACTAGGGCAAAATATGGACAAAAGACAGATTTACACCGAGACTCCTGAAAAACGTACGAGGAGAGTAAAACCAGGTGTTCCGGAAGAGTAAGTGTCTTCTGCTTCATCGATGACACCCGAAATGTAAACTTTAGTCAAATCAAAGTAAGTAATGTCACATTCTCAAATGAGAACAAGGTATACAACAACGACACCAACAGGCAAACTAATGAGTATCAAATACGTCCAGATTCGTGACACAAAAAGAAATACCTAGGATGAATATTTTTCAATGAGATCACTATGGCGACCATAAAACTTCTCCATAATTTTCTACAACCTGTAGCCTTTGAACTTTTTGGATATTATTGTATAGCCTTTGTATATATTATCTCAACTCGAACTAATTGTCATTTTTCTTATCCTAACTGTGTTGTAAAAATTTACCCTGTTGATGTTAACAATTCAACACATCACCAGGACACTGATGATAACCTCTAGCAGTAGGAAAAGTCGCAGAGACCAAAAACATTTAACCAATCAACCATATCATCAGAAACCTGACCTACCTGTATGCAGTTAGGTAGCCCTGTACTGTCCATTCGACTGGCTACATTTACACTGTTCCCCCAGATGTCATAATGAGGCTTGCGAGCACCAATCACGCCGCTTACAACAGGTCCCACGTTCATTCCTAAAGCAACATAAAAATGACTCCAGTTTATTTAAAAGCAATTTAATCTCCAACAAATAACCTAAATGGTTCAGGTATGAAATAGGAATTTTGACAAATTTAAATATTCGAATGTTAAAATTACCAGAATTTTATTTTAGGAACGACGCCGATTTTCTATGCATTTTAAAATAAGGTACATCATAAAATTTCATTTCGTTTAATTTCAAGTTTTATATTTTTATCTTCATTGTTTATCAGAGTTTTATTCTGTTTGAAACAGAATACCAACAGTGGAAACAGAGTTCAAAATTGTAGAAAAATGCATACTGATATTTAAATATTCTGAGTCTCAAGCCGTTTAAAAGAATATTCATAAACGACAATGTTCATGATTTCAATGAATATAAAAATAAATCAACAGTAAGTTGTCAGCTGATAAAATTTTTTTAAAGGTCTATTGACATTTATGTGTAAGTAATATCAACAATTTTTATTGTAAGTTTACTCAGAGGGGTACCATTAAATTTAATCTGGTTTTTTTTTTTTAAGTAAAAAACACTGACCAATTCTGATTTTGAAGTTGTTGAAGGAATGCTCATTGACATAATGCAGTTGTGCCTGAATAGCGAAGGCATATTCCGCCAGAGCAATAACGTGACTCATATCAGAGAAGTTAGTCTGTGGTGTGAGTCCAGATGCAGCCATATAGGTTGATCCAATGGTCTTGATCTTCTCGATACACCCAAATTTCTCGTCACCAAGTACCTGGGAAATGTAACCATAAGACTTAATGTATTGGTCAACAATCTCAGTAACCTATCACATAGGAAATAAATATTTATAGGTATGCTGAATTTAGAAAATGTCTCTTTGATATGATTGCCCTTGCTCCCATGCATATATGTATCATTTTTGAATAAACTGGCAGAAGTTGTCAAATGTGACCTTTGACCCTTTACCCTTGACTGATCACCACCTAAATAAAATAAGGTGTAGAACCTGATGGTATGATGGTATGATGGTATGAAGAAAACCTTAACAACAGGCCCAGTGATTTCAAATGTAATCTGACTATCATGATCTATATAGGATATAACAACAGTGGTAGTGGTAGGAACACTTATTACATCTTTAAAACAGTCTGAAAGATTTTAGCAGTAAAGGTGAAAACATTCTTCATTTCAGTTTCGTAACATTCTCACAAAAACTTCAGCTCAGTGGCACCAATGGAATTGAATCAGGTCTTTTTAAGGTTACAGCTCAATTGGACTAACTCCAAAATATAATAGTTAGTCAGGATCATTTCAGGTAAATTTCTGCTAAATTCCACTGGTGGAACTTGAAAAAAAGTTTAAAATGGGTATTATCCAGGGAAACCATGATTGCATTATCATGTTTCAAAATGGCCACCATGGCTGCAATATTGAACTTCTGACAAGGTCGAAATCTTTTTCAGCTTCCCTTCCTTAACATTCCCACCAACTTTCAGCTGAATGGCACTGGTAGAATTTGAAAAAAAAGTTTAAAAGAGGTGTTCCGAGAATACATGATTGTGCAATCATGTTACAATACAGCTGCCATGGTAGCCATATTGAACTTTTGAGAAGGCAAAGAAATAATAACACTTTGTCACCAACATTTCGTCTGGATCATATTTCATGTCAAGTTTCAGCTCAACCCCACAGGTGAAATCTGAGAATAAGTTTAAAATTTTAAACATTAAGAACAGCAGATGGCACATGGTAAATGGGGCACAAAGATGGACTAAACACATTGTCAGATGACCTAACAAAATGTATTCAGAGATTTTCAAGAATATTGATATACCTATTTGGAATGGAACAGGCCTCCCCCCTTTCCCTATAAAAGGCAAAGGCACACACAAATTGTTATTTTTGACACATTTTCTTAACAATATGTGAATTTCATTTGTAAACATTGTCATACCTCATCAAAGTCAGCGATGATTTCATTGAGGAGACGCAGACACTCTACACCCTCATTGTTTCCCTCCAACTCCATGTAGAACTCGGAAAAGTTAGTGATGGATGCAAACATGATACACGAGTTCTCTGAATCCATGTAGTACAAGTCCTTCAACACATAAACAGATTGTAAGCCTTAAAACAAACATTGTAATAACTGTTTTGTCTGTAACAAATCTCAATGACCAATTTGCCTGTAAAACAACCAATTTGTCTGTAAAATGACCAATTTGTCTATAAAACGACCAATCTATCTGTAACCAATCGTAATCACCGATTTGTCTGTAACCAATCGTAATCACCGATTTGTCTGTAACCAATCGTAATCACCGATTTGTCTGTTACCAATTGTAATAACACAGAACCTGTATTGTATGCCAGTCCTAACTCGTTACTGTAGTTTAAATGATTAATATTGATAAAAACAGTAAAGGTATTGTAATATGCTTTGTATTACGGAATAACAGTAAAAGATGACCTGATCTATTTTCAGAATTTTGTCTATCTATTATCTGGTATATCTGTTACACAAGTGTCAATACAACAAATGATCTCAATGACTGACTAAACCACTGTCCATACCCACTGGCCACACCCACTGGCCACTCTCACTTATCCTGCATGCCTAAATAGCTATATCTACTGGCTGACTCTGCCTGTCACACCCATAGACCTCACCTAGTGACTAAATCTACCTGCCTGCTACATCAAGTGACTCAAATTACCTACAACCCCACACCCCACTGTCCTTACCTTCTCAACACAACCCCACACCCCACTGTCCTTACCTTCTCAACACAACCCCACACCCCACTGTCCTTACCTTCTTAACACAACCCCACACTCCACTGTCCTTACCTCCTCAACACAACCCCAAACCACACTGTCCTTACCTCCTCAACACAACCCCAAACCCCACTGTCCTTACCTTCTCAACACAACCCCAAACCCCACTGTCCTTACCTTCTCAACACAACCCCAAACCCCACTGTCCTTACCTTCTCAACACAACCCCACACCCCACTGTCCTTACCTTCTCAACACAACCCGAAACCCCACTGTCCTTACCTTCTCAACACAACCCCACACCCCACTGTCCTTACCTTCTTAACACAACCCCACACTCCACTGTCCTTATCTTCTCAACACAACCCCAAACCCCACTGTCCTTACCTTCTCAACACAACCCCAAACCCCACTGTCCTTACCTTCTCAACACAACCCCACACCCCACTGTCCTTACCTTCTCAACACAACCCCAAACCCCACTGTCCTTACCTCCTCAACACAACCCCAAACCCCACTGCCCTTACCTTCTTAACACAACCCCACACCCCACTGTCCTTACCTCCTCAACACAACCCCACTGTCCTTATCTTCTCAACACAACCCCAAACCCCACTGTCCTTACCTCCTCAACACAACCCAAACCCTTCTGTCATTATCTACTTTACACAACCTTAAACCCCTGTGGCCTTACCTAGTTTACATAATCTCAAACCCCTGGTGCCTTACCTTCTTTACACAACCTCAAACCCCTGTGGCCTTACCTACTTTACACAACCTAAAACCCCTGTGGCCTTACCTACTTTACACAACCTTAAACCCCTGTGGCCTTACCTAGTTCACATAATCTCAAACCCCTGTGGCCTTACCTACTTTACACAACCCTAAACCTCACTAGCCTCTCCTACTTTACACAACCCTAAACCTCACTAGCCTCTCCTACTTTACACAACCCTAAACCTCACTAGCCTCTCCTACTTTACACAACCCTAAACCTAACTAGCCTCTCCTACTTTACACAACCCTAAACCTCACTAGCCTCTCCTACTTTACACAGCTCTAAACAATGTCAGCTTACCTCATCCTTTTTGTAAGTATTTTTCATGAAGTGTTCTGCGACATTAATAGGAAGGATGTTTGTTACAAGCCTCTTATTATAGGCTCGAAGGCTTTCCATTTCTTCTTTCTCATCCGTTGCCTACAAGATAGCGATAAAATTATTCGTACATATGAAGATTCATCAAGATTTTATACCATCATTCCTGAAATAGTCATGCCATCATGTTCTATAACAAAGACAGAGGACTGACAAAGGAACAATAGCCATCTTCACAAGCACTAACTTTTATCCAATATGATACAATATCAAATCATGACAAAAAATGCATTGTAAATTAGAGAAGCAGGAATATGACTATACAGAAATAGAAACATCACTTTAGGGACATTATTATAAGACAGCATTGATATGTAAAATAGTGAAATTGAGGGATGTTTTTAGTTGTTCTAATAAAGCTCTTTGATAAATTCAGATTTGCAAGAAAAGCAAAAAGAAGTTGGTGATGGGCACTTACCTGAATGGATCGCTTGTACCGGAAAATTGACCTGTGTTGACTGTTAATTACTTGGCCATCTAATTATATTTACCTTTACATTATAGAAAAAACCTGTCAATCTAGCTATATTTACCTGTACTTTCCAGAGAAAATCCAATCTGGAAGTAGATTCCACCTGTTGTGTTTGTACAAAAAGAATTCCAACCAGCACCACAAGTACAGCGACCGTCTCCCACTTCAGAGGGATAAACGAAACAGGGTCACCCAGCTCCTTCCTAATACATAGAACACACCTGATTATTACACCTTACATGTACCTGGAGCACTATCAACATTAGGAAACTGTTACTTTGACCAGCTATTTAAAATCAACCCACGGATGTCAGATAAATTTAGATCACAAAACAGATTCAAATTCAGTATTTTTGTATACCCAATCAATTTCATTGCCATTTTTGTGAACTGCAGATGAATTTTTAGATCATCTTATTTCCATTTTGTCAGTGACTTCAGTACCTAGAAAAAACACCTAATTCCGTTATCATTCAAAGTTTGCGGGAAGAAATGTTTAATGATATCCTAAAAACAAGTTTGTATGGTACCATATGTGAAAACACCTCTATGTATATCGTATTTTATTACATACATATTTTCATAATATTTTATGTTTTTTTTTCATCCTACAATCAAATTGCTATGATAATTTTTTTCTGAACTGATAGACTTGTACAGGTAATTGATATACAAATGTGTATATGTTTTTCTAAAATCTAGACAAATTTGTATGTGTGATGATTTTTTTTGTATTCTTTGCCAGTTTCAACAATCATTTTCAATATTACATTCCAATTTTTATTTTTAAAAGTGAAATTAAATTTTAATACCAGGTCTAAAAACTTCATCTACGGGTACAATTTATAACTAATTTGTAAAACACAAGAAAACAAAAAATTTCTACTTACCCACTTTCTGCGACCAATAGTAAATCCCGATTGTCATACAAATTTACAAAGAACACTTCCACTAAAATACAGTACACTAGTAACATTACAAGCAATACTATAAGCTTGAACACACTACTGGCTTGTACGTATACTGCACAGCCAATCATAGCCAGCATAACACAGAATGTAAAGTGTTCAGGGAAATGTGTTGTCGCGTCTGATTGGTGACAAATATTAGTTTCTGATGCTCGTGTGATATTAGCCAAATGTACCAAGCTTAAGTTGAAACTTGAGGGAGATGCGCCGTAGTAGGATGAAAGACATTCAATGTAACTTGTGGTTCCAAGGAAAAACTGAAAAAAAAATCAATTTTCATCAGATTTGGACATGCAAAACAGCAGAGGAAGGTATATAGGTTTAACAATTCTGGAAACAAATGGGTCTTATGAAGAACGTCTATTCAGAACAAAAGAAGGATTTTTTTTTTTCTGAAATGGGAATCCAAAAACATGCATCATTTGTTTGTTTGTTTTTTCTTTTTAACAGGAAAAATAAAAATAAATATAATGTAGAACTCTCTGGCATATGAAAATAAAAATAGTGTAAAATTGGAAAAAATTAGAACTCTTCTACATTGGAGGTACAATATACAAGAACGGTGACATGCTTAATGACACAATAATATTTATTTTACAATAAATACAGTTAACAAACCATGGCAAATATAGATGCCACAAAGAGAATGGAGACGGCCAGCGTGGTCACAAGTTGGTTTAACCACTTATTGACTGCAATCTTAGTGGCTGCTGACCGCAGTCCTTTAGGCATGTACTGAAAAAAATAAACAAAAACTTGAAATACAATGACCTGCAGTTGTAGTATCATACTTGATAGACTTGAATGAAGTGATCTGTTATCCTTAATTATGAATGTGGAAAAAATTAATGTATTATATCATTATCATTAAACAAAGACTGCTAAAGTTTACTTAATCCAAAGAAACAATGTAATATTTTAAGAACAAGAGGCCTACAGGCCTAAACGATCATCAGTCTATATACTTCCTCGATATCTGATTTCTTTTACATCTTGGATTGAAGTAAAAAAATGCTGAAATTTCAGTCAAATTCATCCCTGATCTACTGACTCCACCACTTAGGCCTCTGAGGTGGGGTATCCACCAGTCAGGCCTCTGAGGTGGGGTATCCACGTCTCAGACCTCTGGGGTGGGGTATCCACCACTCAGGCCCCTGGGATGGGGAATCCACCAGTCAGGCCCCTGAGGTGAGGTATCCACCACTCAGGCCCCTGAGGTGATGTATCCACCACTAAGGCCTCTGAGGTGATGTATCCACCACTAAGGCCTCTGAGGTGAGGTATCTACCACTCAAGCCCCCGGGGTGGGGTATAGACCATAATAATTTGCAGTTACATGGTACACATTCATTTCAGACTGTTAATGACAGACTTGTAAAGGTGTTTTTGTTTGGTTTTAAATGCAGTCAGTTCACAGCATGTAGAGAAATCTCATATCTAGTAATGCACATACATGAGCCGAAAAATTTACCTGTGATGACTCTGACAGTACTAAGAGAAACAGAATGATGACAATGATGAAACATAATGGAAAAAATATTGCTAGAACTGTTGATCTGTAACAGAAAAAACAAAACATAAATTACAAGAAACTTTGTCATTGTTATGAAACATTCTAAATTTGTTAAGTAACCTATCACTGACAAGAATGCTTCTCATATATCATAAGCACTTTGATATAATGTACAGTTCCAGGCATTTTAATTATGACTTGTGCCTTATAATAAGTTGTTACCATTAACAAAAAGCACCAAGCAAAAAGTCATGTAGTTACTGTTCTACCCTGCTTTGACAGAAGTCAGTGCCCCAAAATTGGGGGAGAGCCATTGGGAGGGAGATCTCCTTTATTTCCTTTTTTAATTGTAGAATTAATCATTTTTCTTTGTTTAAGGAAAAATATAAAAAAAAAAAAAACTTAAGAGAGGTTTAAAATATTCTTTTTCATCTTCTACAACTTGCAAATCAATTAAGTATCTTCAGTCTTATCACACTTCATTACAAGTGTAAACTTTTTATGATAATATTACTTACTGATAAAGAATGACAAGTTGTATTACAGCTATACACATCAGCATCAGTAACGTACAGCATAGATGTGAAGTAAACATGGTGTCCCGCACCTTCGAATACTGTAAATACAAAGGTTACTGTCAGTAGATGTAAACATGGTGTCCCGCACCTTAGAATACTGTAAATACAAAGTTTATTGTCAGTAGATGCAAACATGGTGTCCTGCACATGGTGTCCTGCACCTTAGAATACTGTAAATACAAAGTTTATTGTCAGTAGATGCAAACATGGTGTCCTGCACATGGTGTCCCGCACCTTCGAATACTGTAAATACAAAGTTTATTGTCAGCAGATGTAAACAAAGATGCAAACATGGTGTCCTGCACATGGTGTCCTGCACCTTAGAATACTGTAAATATAAAGTTTATTGTCAGCAGATGTAAACATGGTGTCCCTCATCTTAGAATACTGTAAATACAAAGTTTATTGTCAGCAGATGTAAACATGGTGTCCTGCACATGGTGTCCCGCACCTTAGAATACTGTAAATACAAAGTTTATTGTCAGTAGATGTAAACATGGTGTCCCACACCTTAGAATACTGTAAATACAAAGTTTATTGTCAGCAGATGTAAACATGGTGTCCTGCACCTTAGAATACTGTAAATACAAAGTTTATTGTCAGTAGATGTAAACATGGTGTCCCACACCTTAGAATACTGTAAATACAAAGTTTATTGTCAGTAGATGTAAACATGGTGTCCCACACCTTAGAATACTGTAAATACAAAGTTTATTGTCAGCAGATGTAAACATGGTGTCCCTCATCTTAGAATACTGTAAATATAAAGTTTATTGTCAGTAGATGTAAACATGGTGTCCTGCACATGGTGTCCCGCACCTTCGAATACTGTAAATACAAAGTTTATTGTCAGCAGATGTAAACATGGTGTCCCTCATCTTAGAATACTGTAAATATAAAGTTTATTGTCAGTAGATGTAAACATGGTGTCCTGCACATGGTGTCTTCGAATACTGTAAATACAAAGTTTACTGTCAGTAGATGTAAACATGGTGTCCCGCACCTTCGAATACTGTAAATACAAAGTTTACTGTCAGTAGATGTAAACATGGTGTCCCGCACCTTCGAATACTGTAAATACAAAGTTTACTGTCAGTAGATGTAAACGTGGTGTCCCTCATCTTAGAATACTGTAAATACAAAGTTTATTGTCAGTAGATGTAAACATGGTGTCCCAAGTTTATTGTCAGTAGATGTAAACATGGTGTCCCACACCTTCGAATACTGTAAATACAAAGTTTATTGTCAGTAGATGTAAACATGGTGTCCCACAGATGTAAACTTAGAATACTGTAAATACAAAGTTTACAGTAGATGTAAACATGTCAGTAGATGTAAACGTGTTTATTGTCCCATGGTGTCATCTTAGAATACTGTAAATACAAAGTTTATTGTCAGTTGTTGGTGTCCCACACCATTTAATGGTTGTCCATTCAAACAAATTCTAAAAGTTGGAGGAATTTGAAAAATTCTTTTAAACATTTAACCTGTTTAATAAGACAACATAGCAAAAAAAAAAAAAAAAAAATGCAATGAGTTGATATTCAGTAAATTTACACATAATACTTCCTGGTAGATCGTGTACAGGCAGTTATTTGTACAGATTTTCACTGTAAGGGAATACGTTTAAGTTACAATAAATGAAATTAGATTAATTGAAGATGAATTATAAATCATTGCCATGACATTTCCAACATCAATGTAATTTACAGGATGTTAAACTATCTGTAAACATGTGTACGAGGTGTGGGTTTGTAATTATCAGGCAGATTACTGATATAGAAATACGTCATGATACTATTAACAAACAAAAATATGGATAAATTTAGCTTATTTGTTATTTTTCAAATAAATATGAAAACCATAAATTAACAGTCATTTGTGTGTTTAGCATAAAACATAAAAATTGAATGATAATAAAAGCATTAATATAACATGTAACAATATATTAAGTGGTAAAGTTTGTAAAACTTCTGAACTGTTTTTTGTCATAAAATTATATAAGATACTAGTGTTATGCTATACAACAGCAATTTATTTAAGCTATGATAGGTGACATATCTTGATTAAGTGCAGTGAAAATGAATTTTCCACAACTAATACTGAAAATTATGAGAAAAACGGCACCTGATTTCATTAAAACATAGGATATTTTGATAAATTCATTAAACCTGTCAAACATGTTGTTATATCACTTATCTATGATAATGATAAGGATTTCGAAATGAATTCCACAGGGAAACAATACAAAAATAAGAGTAATCATTTAAGTAGGTCACTGTCTAAGAGGCTGAGATATTGAACATTATAAAGCTGTCAGCACTATTTTCATCCAATACGAATATTTTGACCAAAAATCTATATATTTCATTTAAGAAATAATTACCATAACTTTAATATGGAAATGTAGTACCTTCACCAATCTTTATAGCCCAAAAACAAAAGATAAAAAAATCCCGCCCTCTCTAGAGTCCAATGAGCCGTCACTATTTTTCAAACACACCTTGCAAATATATGATGTTTATTCTGTCCATTTTTCTCAAACTCACTGATGGTAAAAAAATTCAATCCCTTCTATATGATGATGCACCAGACAAAATCCAATCCAGAAGATAGTTTGAACGATTTGCTCAGTTTTATCTCCTGCCCGTCAGGCCCAGTAGGGCCCAAATCTACCTCTGATACAAGGTAAGTTACTCTTTCTCAAAAGTATTATGACCAAATTTACCTTCATCGTCACAAGAAGGATTTTAAAGTCTTTCCTTACATGTTAAAAATTTGAAAGAGAGATCTATCAGATACTATTGAAGAAATGTGGTTAAAGTCAAAATCCAAGATGGCCACCTGTCAGCCATTTTGTTTTTTTCTGATGAATTCTAAAATTCAAATGGCACAACAAAGGAGCTAGAGGAGCCTACATGCGTAACTGAAGAAAATGCTTTTCAGGAAGTTCAGTGATAACAAGATCTAAAGAATGAACCACATCCTCTCGACAATTTACACAGCCTTTGCTTCACTGTCAATTTATAATTTTATCAGTGAACATTAATTTTTTACAGTCATCTTTGATGGAATAAGACATGCTTAATATCCGGTGTGATGTAAAGTAGGTTCTGGTAACTATGAGAATATGTTACTGGTAATACATGTGAGACAGCAAGGTGTGGCATGAGTGTTAACAGGGGTGATAAAGGTGAATAGAGTATAATGTAGACATTTGAGTCCTGACAGTTAACTATCATATCACAACCTTAATGATGGATTACTTACTTGTGGTTTATCTGAGTGATAACAATATTGTTTTTAATTAGAAAGTAAGTCCCTGTAACGACACATGGATCAGTCCTGAATCATCCTAAAGAGAAAGTAAGGGGCTATTGTCCTTGTTTATTCTTTTGGTGGTGCAGGGGTAATGCACCCTCCTTTCACTTTGATGTCTCGGGTTTAATTCCCCTGACAGAACCTGAATAGGTATGGAGGATCACTTGATTGACCACATAGGTTTTCTACGGGTACTCCAGTTTCCTCCCGTAGAAAAACCCATCGTTCAATTCAATCCAGGCCAACAAGAGTGATTAGTATATTTAACTGACAGTTTGTTTCGCAATTGTTTTATAATAAGGTTACGTCTATCCTGGTTACGTCTATCCTTTTGTATATTTGTCAAAATAACATCAGAGACCTCAGTCATATGTAAGTGTTATATGATAAATGATTTTTGTTTGGTTAAATAAAGAGATTCACAATCAGAATCATTAATATGGTGATTATAATGTGACAGTGCAGTAGTTGTGCATTATACTTAGTCCAACCTGTTGATGGGTGTTAGTATTACCATTTCATTCTGTTGCGTTCATCACCTTATGAACTTCTGTCAATCTTTAAAAAAAATAGCAATATTTTCAGTAAAATATTTTTTCTTCTCAATTTCAAAAAGATCATTTCTACTTCTCTAAATTTTAAAAATGTACACAATTAAACTGCCATCTAAGCTCAGTCTCATATCTATAGCTCTTTATTATTCTAGGATGTATTCTACCTCAATGTTATAATCACCTCTAATCCAAAAGAGTTCCATTCAATGAAGAGTGATAGGGATAATGTGATTGATTTGACAAAACATTTGAAATTGATGTTAAGAAAGACAGGATTGGAAAACTCTAATAAAAAAATAATGATGGAAAAATTAAATTCACATCAAAAGGGAGATAATTTTAACAGGTGACGAAGGTAATAACTTCTTTTTAAGAGATTGTTAATAACCATTATCTTGTTCAGATAAATTTTATACATTTAGCATTTGCTGCAATTTGCAAAAGTCAACATTCCCAATTCTGCTACGAATGATCAAACACCGGGATTACATCATCAAAAAATAACGAAATTTTCAGTTTAATGTTTCTATGTAATATATTACCTAACTGAAGCAAGGAAAAAAGGATAATAAATGAAAATATCTGCATATCATCTCAGACATCTAGAAGGACTGTCGTCTATTAACACTTATTAACAGGATGTTTTGGAGGATTTTTGTTTATTACAACTTATTATCAAAACATCTGGGAGGACTTTTGTTTATTGACACTAATAAGTACAAACACTCTACCTTCTCCTCCAAATCTTTCTTTCGGAAGGTCAGTAAGAACGTTGTGACATGGTCTGACCGTAGCTTCTCTATGCTTCGTGCATCAATGGCACGTCCCAGATACTCGTTCACTTCATCTTCTGGGTTTTTGGACTCAAAGTGATCCCCAAACCCTAACCTGTAAAAAAAAAAATATGAACCAGGTTGAAAAACTAGTGATAAAATTTGATGTGTTTGTGGACTTTCGGACTAGAAAATGTAAACTTTCTTATGTTGCTTAATAATTTTCCCTCAAACAGTGACAGGTATCGTATATATGGTTATCTAGTTGGTATTTATAGCACTATGATTAAAATCTCTAATCATACATATTGTACCACAACAGTATCAAAGTAAAGCAGGAAGTTACTGACTGACTAATATCCCTCGCTCCCCAATCAACAATGGTTTTGGAGGGGTTGTCCTAACAAGATTCTTCCAAGAGGTCTTCATTTGGTCAACATGCTAACCAAAGAGAAACAATTTTTTTGTCTTTTTCATTTGGTTTAACACCATGGCAACCAAAGGGAAGCAATTTTTTTTTTCTTTTTCGAAAATGGTATCATTTTATCATTTATTTGTCAACCCACCCAAAAACTTTTTTTATACCAATGTTAAACTTAATCAGATGTCTTATTTTCGACCAATCAGAAGCCTCCAAAGTGTTTCAAGATCTTTATTCTGCAGACTTTTTATAGACGTTGACTGGTTTTATAGTGTCATCACAATGAAATGTCGTAGACACAGTAGCATGACATCCATTCCAGTTAATTATACTAACAACAGAAGACAAACCAGTCTTTCAGCATCTAATTTACCAGGTACAAGCATATTGAAGTTGATTGACAAGACAGAAGAGACTAGAGTATTTGGTAGACAGACGTTTTACTTAACAATTTCAAGAAAGTCATTAAGAACAAAAAAAAGTCTTGTCGGAAACAGAGGTCCCACCACGAGTTTAGTTTCCCCTTACAAAAATGCAATGATAGCAGCAGGTATATATTTTTCTTAGTTTTAGTATATGCTGCCTACAAGGCCAGGATGACTGGACAGAAGGAACCGAAATTTATATAAACAGCCATCAGTACCATCACTTACTTCTGGTGTATATTGGCATTGGGATCATCATCAAAGCCCATCCTCTTGGCTGCAGCACTTTTTTCTACTCCCTGGTTTGGCCGTCCCCTGGCAGATTTCTTGGGGGAGACTTTTGGCTTTTCCTTCATTGTGAACAAAAATGTCAAATCAATTTTTATTTTTTATCAAAATTAAATAAATATCACTTTTGTTTTTAAAAATAAATACATTTACAACTTCTAGATTAATTTTTAGCTAGTGTGACTTTGAACTTTTCATCAACTTCAATGACAAGAGTCCCCTCTTGTGCCAATATTTCACTCAATTCAAATTACAAATTAATCTGTGGTAGTTCATCATCTGGCCTTTTTCCATAAAATTCAAGGTTAGTTAGTTTCTGGAAAATAATGGTCACAAATTTTGAAAGACAATATTCAAAATGGTCGCTAAATGCATCTTGAAAATCTTATCAACAAAACATGATCTGATGAAAGTGTGTTCAAAATTGAGCTGAGGAACAATACCAATTTTTTTTATATTTTTCCTACTTATTACAGAATTAAGTGAAAAAGATTTACACTAAACTTTCTTCATTTTTTTTGATGTAATCCACAACCTTAGAGAGCAATGACAAAAAAATCGTGTTTTTACATGTACTATTACAGACCCACAGACTGAAACTTAAAGAATATCAGTTTTACCTTAATTCTCTGCTGATCTCCACGGATCAGGTAAGTGGTGATTTTGTTGTCACGGAGATATGTGTTTCTGTCGCCACCATTGCCAGGCTCCACATCATAGCAATCGTTTAGGAAGCCGAGTGTTTCCTCTGTTATGTGTACCAAACTAACGAGAAAACAAGTGCTTTCTGTTACAATGATGTTTTATTTGTAACAGTCAATAGATGACATATCAGTAAAGACACAATCACACATTGTATTAGACTCAGATGGTGATGACATTTTATAAAACCATATCACCTTACACATAATACCAGTAATCTGAAATGAAGTTAAGGTTATACGCTATCTTACACATAAAGCTGTATCTTTTTAAAAGTTATCTCCCTTTGAATTAATGCTCTTTAATTTTATTGCCATTCTGTGGTGTATGAGTGAGTTGTAGCCTTCCAGATATATTCAAATAATTTTTTTGCCATCGCAATCAAAACACAGTCACACCCTTTTCTATTGCCAGGTCTTAACTTATATCAAGAGAATTAACTCTAACTTACATACTTATTATAATCATCTATCTTGCATGGACAGTACCTGGACTTTCGTATACACAAAAACAGAATATCTAATTATTTTATGTTTTATTTTCTGTACATCATTTCTGTCTAATTTAAGTTTTTGTAATATAAACATATTATCGATATAAAGGTGTTTTTTTGTTTTGTTTTGAATATCAGAAAATAATATTAAAGCAGCACACACAAAGACTGAAAACTGACCAATACAAATGCTGCTTATATACTCTGAAATTTAACTATCTTACCCTGGTACGCCCCCTGCTTCCATGGTATTAGCCAGGGTGACATCATTAGACCAGACATCAAACTGCCATTTGCGGAGTCCCAGGACACCACAATGGACACGCCCACTGTGGATCCCTACTCTCATATTTACATCAGCTCCAGTTACATCTCTAACTAATCTAAAAAACACATCAAAAAATAAACTGTTATTTCTCTACTTAAAGCAGTAAATCATAACACACACAAACAGAAACAAGAAACTAAAATCGAAATGACCTAACTAGTGATGGGACAATGATCAGATAAACTCAATTATCTGATGGTTTAACTTTATTTAATGTGATCAGTAATTTTTCTAGATCAATCATCGCTACCTTAGTAATTTCCTGTGTTTTAGCAAGCACAAAATTCAAATTATGCATAATAGATGTGCCGATTGCCAATGATATTCATTTTTTTATGTAAGTTTGAAGAAAATTAGGTATTTTAGGTTAAAGTTACAAAAAAGGGAAATACAAGAAATTTGGTAGACCTCATGGATACTCCCCGAATAAATAGTGGTTCCAAAAAGGGCTATTTTTCTAATAAAATTTCAGTATGAAAGATAACAAAGGGCAATAACTCCTAAATTGTGCCAAACAGAGTTATGGTTCTTGCACACTGCATTTTTCCTTATCGAAATGGACAAACAAATGGACAAAGTGGTGACTGCATGCCCTCCCAATGGGACCATAATTACCTTAACAAAGAATGCATGAGCATTTAATGAAAATTGAATACACAGTCAGCCAACTATGTAATCCATTTACTACATCAAAAAGCCTGTCCAATTAAAATCTATATTGGATTACAAACCGATATCCCATCCTAGTCCTAACTGATACATGTAAATTAGTTCAATTTGACACAATGTTATAAAGGAAATGAAGTTGTTTGGGTGATGACATCCATTTTAAACCGACAGGATAAAATGGATTCCAATTAAAACAAGGGGATATGTAAATCTAAATTTCATTTTTTGTAACATTCTGCAAAAATGTTGGAAAAATTGTGTTTCATCAGCATCTTGACTTCCTACCAATAAACTTACGAGATGGCCTGTATCATGTCCAGTCCCATCTCCACACAGCAGTGGGCGTGGTCAGGGCGAGGATCAGGCAACCCACTAACACAGTAGTAACAGTCACCCAAGATCTTGATTCGCAGGCAATGGTTGTCTGCAGCTAAGCGGTCAAATCGTGCAAATAGTTCATTGAGTAGCTGGACAAGTTCTTGCGCCGTACATTGAGAGGAAAGCTGTGTAAATCCACACATGTCCGCAAACAGGATACTGTAGTTAAAGAAGAATATTGTTTATGATAAGTAAGTTAACATATAAAAAACCTTACATGTGTTTCTATGTATACAAAATTTATGAAACAAGCCATTAAAATTTTATTAACCGAGCCTCTGGCAAGGGAAAATGAAAAATCTGTGACAAGTTTCATGAATCTCAAAGTCAAGATGGCCACTTTTCTGCCATTTTCTTTTTCTGATCAAACCCAAAATCAAACGAGCACAACTAGGGACTAAAGGGAACCTACGTATGAAATTTAAGAAAGATCCATCATGTACTTCTCTAGAAATAGCAATAACAAACTTACAAAGTCAAAATCTAAAACGTCCGTCTGCCAGACATTTTGTTTTTCTGATCAGACATAAAATAAAATTGGCACAACTAGAAACCAAGGGGATCCATCTCTTACTTTTCGCGAAATAGCGATAACAAACTTCATTGAAAAAATCCAAGATGGCTGCCTGTCAGCCATTTTGTTTTTTGATAAGTACCAAAATCAAATTAACACAACTAGGGAGCAAGGGGAACCTACAAATGAATTTTGAAAAAGATCTTATGAAGAAATAGTGATAACAAAACTTGTTTACGGACAGAGACGGTGTCAAGATTTTACCTATTATTAAGCACGACCCTTTGATATTTGTGTAAGTGCATAGTGCACTTATTAGGTCAAATATGGTACATAAAGATTTGATGAAAACTGTAGGAGGATTTGTCCTGACAAGATCCTGTCCACAGACAGACTGATGAACAACAACATTCCATTATACCCCTTTACTTCAGTGTGCGGAATATAATTATTGCTAATTACTATTTTATGGCTGAAACAAGTTAACCACTGAAGTATAAATATAAATATTTATTGACTGTTTGACGATATTTGGGGTGTTTTCATCGAACAGAATATGATGTGCAATACGTGAAACAGATTACCAACACAGGACAGATTTCAGTAAATCAAATATTTATAATGAAATACCATTGTGATTTATTCTGGCGATAGATTTACCCCCGTTATTTGGCCTTATTTCATCATAGGAACCACTACATTTCTATCGCGATCCTGTCGATTTACAGGCCAGTAAACAGGAAGTTATGGACATGCAACGTTCATCCACTCAATCATCAGGCTTATTGCTATCGTAATTTAATTATTCTCTGTCGAGTATTGATCATTGATGACAATGTATATGATTAACAGATCAATATTTGTTCTCTACAATGCATCCTTTATATATACACAGTCTTTACATGATACTCGGCCAAGTGTGTAGTTTTTTTTTTTTTTCGATCAGGAGTTTTTTATTGGGAGTAATTGTAACAAAAGCTCTATTTTATAGCAACTCTGTGGAACAGAATTATAACCAAACAATGCTTCTAAAGTTCTAAAAAAAAAAATGTAAGGATAGCATTATGAAACAGTATTCGACATAAATCCTTTCAACACTGTGTAAGGAATGGATTTCAGATGGTTTTTTTAACTGATATACTAATAGATGCAGATCTATCGAAAGTGGGAAGAAGACAGATGAAACTAGAATTGTCTGTGAGTGACATAGATGCCCCCATCGGCCACCAAGGAGAACCATGAAACCTTTTAGTGTTATTGGTATTTTTAAGAGGTGTACACATGACTCCTGAAATAAAATTTTCTGCGGAACTATGAAGAATCCAAAATACAACTCAGTCTCTTTCTGCAGACATGATTGTAATCCCCAGTGGAATCAGACAAGGTTCTCAAATATTGGTCTTACAAATTTTGTGAAAGTTTTTATCAAAGTTTTTATTGTTTAATGTTCTAACTCCAGCAAAACTTTTGTTGTAACCAAATCAGAGAACTTGGCCTGCATATTATCATTATTATACAACTCCATAAAAAATAATTTTTGATACCTGTATTTTTTTTGAGAGTACAGTGTATATGAGAGGAAACAATTGGATGGAATGAGGAACATCTACATGCTTCTGATCGTGAAATGGCCTTTAATACATGCTTCTGATCGTGAAATGGCCTTTAATACATGCTTCTGATCGTGAAATGGCCTTTAATACATGCTTCTGATCGTGAAATGGCAAGGCCATAAGGTAGTTGGTCTCATATTTACTGTACACCAAACTGAAGTAAATCACGCTACGACTGTAAAATTTGTTACTAAATAGAAAATGTGAAAGGGGGATAATTCCCTGCAAAAAGGGGAAAGTACTTTATATCAAAATCAAGTTTGTAATCTTCATGTTCACCAATAAAATGTACCAAACTTGAAGTGAATCTGCTCTACGACTGTCAAAGCTGATTTTTCTTCAGAGAAGAAAATGAAAAGGGCATATTTACTCCATAAAATGAGCAAACCTGAAGCTGTAAAAAATACTCGGCTTCACTGATATCATATCACACAAATACTATATACTGTAAGCAGTGAAGGTCTACTAGATCTACTTTTATGGAAAAGACAGACAGACAGACAGACAGACAGACAGAAAGATTTTGGTACCACTAGATCTACTTTTATGGAAAAGACAGACAGACAGATTTTGGTACCATTAGATCTACTTTTATGGAAAAGACAGACAGACAGACAGATTTTGGTACCACTAGATCTACTTTTATGGAAAAGACAGACAGACAGACAGATTTTGGTACCACTAGATCTACTTTTATGGAAAAGACAGACAGACAGACAGACAAACAGATTTTGGTAACAGTAGATCTACTTTTATGGAAAAGACAGACAGACAGACAGATTTTGGTACCACTAGATCTACTTTTATGGAAAAGACAGACAGACAGACAGATTTTGGTACCACTAGATCTACTTTTATGGAAAAGACAGACAGACAGACAGATTTTGGTACCACTAGATCTACTTTTATGGAAAAGACAGACAGATTTTGGTACACTAGATCTACTTTTATGGAAAAGACAAACAGATTTTGGTACCACTAGATCTACTTTTATGGAAAAGACAGACAGACAGACAGATTTTGGTACCACTTTATCATCTGTCCAAGCGCCCAGTAGTGATATATAATCAATGTTTTACTTTAATCAGAAAAGAGGACTGTTGAAAGCTAGATCTGTCTAATGCTAGGGATTTAATTAGTGCCATACAATTAGTGCCATGGTAACAAGGTAGAAAGTATTCTAATACATTTCACAAAACAGGTGAGGACCACCTAGGCTGTATGTGAGGAATTCATCAGCATGAGCCCCGATTTGTTTACTCGAGATTTTCAAATGAAATCTGATGTGGTGAAATCAATTACAAATATACTGCTGTCTCATTCTTCTAATATAACAATTGATAAATAGTTTACAGTTATTTCATTTTAATAAGAACAGGACTCATGAGCATCATTTTCTTTCGGTACCAAATACCATTAAATAATAATCTCATTCCCAATCGTATCAAACAGGACATGATTTAGAACGGACAAGTCCTCAGATGAAAAGAGGATGAAAGCATTCATTACGACAGGTAGGTAATTGGTTATTTATCGTTGCTTAGCAACCAATATATCGACCAAGCATGATGTTTGATTGGTATGTCTAATTGTACTACACAGCCTGTAGCTTCCTCTGATGAAATTTAAATTGTTACCTACACAAATACATACCAGTATACTTAAAATTGTGTTGGTTTGATTACACACCTGTACTAGAAACAGTGTACCTGTGTTATTACCTGATAATATTATATGATGAAAGATTGTTACATTAACATAGATTCTGTTTAACAGATATATATATATATATATAATTCATGTTTACAGTGTTACCTGTATGACAAAAGGAACTGAATATCTATCTAGTGTTACCTGTATGACAAAAGGAACTGAATATCTATCTAGTGTTACCTGTATGACAAAAGGAACTCAATATCTATCTACTGTTACCTGTAGGACAAAAGGAACTAAATATCTATCTAGTGTTACCTGTATGACAAAAGAAACTCAATATCTATCTAGTGTTACCTGTATGACAAAAGGAACTCAATATCTATCTACTGTTACCTGTATGACAAAAGGAACTCAATATCTATCTAGTGTTAACTGTATGACAAAAGGAACTCAATATCTATCTAGTGTTACCTGTATGACAAAAGGAACTGAATATCTATCTAGTGTTACCTGTATGACAAAGGGAACTGAATATCTATCTAGTGTTACCTGTATGACAAAAGGAACTCAATATCTATCTAGTGTTAACTGTATGACAAAAGGAACTGAATATCTACCTAGTGTTACCTGTATGACAAAAGGAACTGAATATCTATCTAGTGTTACCTGTATGACAAAAGGAACTCAATATCTATCTAGTGTTACCTGTATGACAAAAGGAACTGAATATCTATCTAGTGTTACCTGTATGACAAAAGGAACTCAATATCTATCTAGTGTTATCTGTATGACAAAAGGAACTCAATATCTATCTAGTGTTAACTGTATGACAAAAGGAACTGAATATCTATCTCTTGTTACCTGTATGACAAAAGGAACTCAATATCTATCTCGTGTTACTTGTATGACAAAAGGAACTCAATATCTGTCTAGTGTTACCTGTATGACAAAAGGAACTCAATACCTATCTAGTGTTACCTGTATGACAAAAGGAACTCAATATCTATCTAGTGTTATCTGTATGACAGTATGTATAGTGTTACCTGTATGACAGTTTTATACTGTTACATGTATGACAGTATGTATAGTGTTACCTGTATGACAGTATATATAGTGTTACCTGTACGACAGTAAGTATATTGTTACCTGTATGACAGTATATATAGTGTTATGTATGACAGTAAGTATATTGTTACCTATATAACAGTATGTATAGTGTTACCTGTATGACAGTATGTATAGTGTTACCTGTATGACAGTATATACAGTGTTACCTGTATGACATTATATATAGTGTTACCTGTATGACAGTAAGTATATTGTTACCTATATAACAGTATGTATAGTGTTACTTGTATGACAGTATGTATAGTGTT